TGTGAAGCCGGCAAGCATATAGGTCGTCGTGGGCGCTCATTGTCCGTGTGATCCGTAGGCTTTTACTCCGCTGATACGTTGGTTCACGAGCCCGGCCCATTTCTGAAGGGGTGGCACCTCATCGGCTGCTGGGAAGGTGACCGCTGAGGTGGCCATTGATATGGTGCCACGTGTAGTGACCGTTGGAGATTTGTCTATAAATACCCCCCCCCCCCCCTCCTCCGAAGCGGTTCCTCACTTGCATTCTTGAGATATTGAAGTGCTGCCCAAATTTCTAGAGAGAGAGAGTCTTCAAGGTGTTCTTCGAGTTCTTCATACCTTCAAGGTTAGTTCTTGACTTGTTCTTCAATTCCTTTGTATACTTAGCTTCCCTGAGCCTTGATCTAGTGTGAGCGGATAAAACGCCTTAGATCCGAAGTTATTCCCCTTAGGCTCGTAATAGTTGTTATGATGAAGAGCTTAGACGAAGAATATTATCCGTACGACGACCAGCCCTCCACTAGGTCACTCGACTATGAGGTGCTTGAGGAGTTCGAGGAAGAGATAGAACGTTTAAGTCCTTACAAGTCCGGAGAGCCGGTGGACGACGAAGGTGAGGACGAGGAGTCCGCCTCATCTTCAAAAGGTGAGGACGCAGGTGCGTCCCGAGTGGTGGACGGGGCGTCCACTTCCGCTGTTATTCCGTGCCCGAGACCGGTGTCTGCCGTGAAGGGAGCAGATAAGCCGAAGAGAATAAGGAGGCCGAAGAGTGGGCCGGGCGTCTCCTACCTGGATCTCACAAATATTTTCCTGATCAAGCCGGAGAGCAGCGCGGCTGACTACTTAGGTGCCCAGATGTACGTGGGGCCGTTCGGGACGGTTAGGGCACCCAGGCCGACGGACCATGTACTCCATCCGCCACCAGGATACTTCGGAGAATACCCGATGAGTTTCGCCAAGGGGCTGAGGTTTCCCCTTCATCCCTTCATCACTGAATATCTGGACATGGTGGGACTCCCTCCGGCCTTGCTGACCCCGAACAGCTACTCGTTGATGGTGGGGTTCTTGCTCCGCTGTGAGGAGTTGGGCTACAGGCCGACAACGGCTCTTTTCATGAATCTTTATCAGATCGGCCGAGGAAGCCACAAGAACTGTGCGGCCTATGCTACTCTCCAACAGCTGCCGAAGAAGAGGAGCTTCACGGACTTGCCTTCGTCCATTCATGGGTGGAAGAGCAAGTTCGTTTTTGTATCCCTTGGTGAAAATGGCACTGAGTTTCCCTCGCTCGGCCACACCGGGAGGTTCAATCTGCACGACCCGCCGAGGAGTTCTATCTTGGACGCTCAGGTGGAGGCGTTCTTGGAAGGGGGGCCGAGAAGCGTGAAAGACTACATCACCGAATATAAGATGACCGCCCTCGGCTTCTTTAGGTACTATGTGTATGGCGACAAGGAGGACGATGTCCAACTTTGGCCGAGGATGACCACTACCTTCGAAGAGGCCGACGGCCCGGATTTGGGCATTCCTGCTGAGGCCGATGGTCATACTTTCTTCGGCTTTCTTCATTTGTTATTTGTTCTTTTGCCTTGCTAATCTGTTCATTTTCCCTTGTGTAGATTTTGTTATGGATCGCCGTTCAATCATGGCCATAGCCAAGGCCAAGGCGGCCGAGGAGTTGGCTGCAAAGGCGGCCGAGGCGGCCAGACGTGCCGCGGCCGAGGGGGGCGGGGCTACTGCTGGTGCGGACCCGAAGCCTGCCCAGTCCAAGAAGAAGAGGCCTCCCACTGACGCCCAGAGAAATTGACCGAGGCTGGCCTGAATGTCACTAAGAAGACGAAGAGGGCACCGTCTCCTTCCCATGCCGATGAGGCCGGCACTCTGACCGTCCCAAATGTGGACGATAGTGGTCTCGTTGTGGATCTTACCGCTGCTCCAAGCGATGCTGCCCAATCGCTCCCTCTTGCCCAGGAGCCACGGACGAAGAGGGCCGACAAGGAGATTGCCACTGCCACCTACCAGAAAATGGTGGAATACCCCGTCGGCGGGGGTGTCTTTGACGATGGCGTCCTCGGCCATGATGAGCTGGCCCAGGCCATGTCGGCCAAAGATCGGGCCTACCTCAAGAGGCTCGGGGACGTCAAGGTGTACGAAGGCGGGATGGACCTCATCGTCCAAGTAAGTTCCCTTCCCTTTCATTTGTTGTTTTTCTCGTTCGTCCGGGTGATGTCATTGCCTGATTCTTTGTTTGCCTTTGTTGTGCAGGGTGCCTTCATGCTCATGGAGAGCCACAAGAGGCAGCATCGGGAGATTGCTCGTCTGAAGGAGCTTGAGCAGAAGGCTGCCTCGGCCGATGAGGCGGTAGCCTGCTTGGATCGGCTCCGGGAGGATGCCAAGGCCTTGCAAAAGAGGGCCGATGAGGCAGCTGCAGCCAGGGACGATGCACTGGCCAAACTCGAGGAGAGTCAGAGGGCGCTTGAGGCTGAACGGCGCAAAAATGATGAAGCCGTGAAGGCAAAAACTGAAGCCGAGACTGCCGCTGTGAAGGCCGCTGATGAGGCCGTTCAGCAGTTCTTGGCCGAGGGGTGGAAGGCCGACGAGCGGCTCCCTGGTGTTATGAAGTGGTGGCCGCCAAGCTTGAAGATTGGGGAATGAACTCCCCCGCCGGCCAAGAGTACTTTAGCAGGGAGATGGCCGTGTACTACAACATGGGCCAAGAACGGATGCAGAGGCTCCTGTGTCGGCGGCTATCGCGTGCCCTCAAAGCCATGAACTATACCTCCGGGTGGGCGAGGCGGAACCTGAAGCTTCCCAAGCTGATGAAGGATCCAGAGGAGCAGGCCAAGCTTCCTCTTTCGGAGCGGGAGCCCCCAATCGAGAGTTCCGGCCTCGGCGAGCCGGATTACGACGAGTTTGACTTCCTGGATGATGCCACCAGTTATGCAGCTGCTGTCGACCAGGAGACTGAGACCGAGGAGGGAGCCGAAGATGCCGAAGAGCAAACCCAGGCTGGGCATGGAGGCGCCCAAGAGTCTTGATCGGCTACTCCCCGCTCCCTATCTTGTAATTAATTATCTTCTATTTTTGCTCATCTGATGTAATGGCCGAAGCGCCCACCAATGTACATGATTGTTTATGAATGAACCTTTTGCTGTCCTGCTCGGCTTTTGAAAGTCTTGTATGTTTATTTCCTTTTGCTATTTCAATTTTGAAATTTGTCTAAGTGTAAAAGTTACAACGTAGGTCACCCGCGAGTGTTTGCTACGTCCGTGAGTAGCTCATGTTATTACAAATGTAACTCACGTATTATGCACTACTAATTAGTGTGCATCAGTAGCTCATGTTATTACAAATGTAACTCACGTATTAAACGATGTAACCCGCTTATAAAAAGATGTAACTAAGTGTATTACCAAATGTAACTGATGATATAAGATTACACAGAGTATATTTTAACCTTAATTATACATCATTTGATATACAAAAATGTAAGTTGTATAATATATATACACACACTCCTCATATAAAATTGGCTTTTTGCTTCTCTTCAAATACTCCATATATGTATGAATTTAGTTAGTGGGATTTTACTTTTGTTGGGTGAGTAATAGGCAGCCGCAGAGCTTTCTGCCGACACAAAGCTAAGGAGCGTCTTCTATGTCGGTGGAGTGGATCTCAATCTGGAGTGGATCTGCAACGGAGCATCAACATAGGCAAGAGCGCGCATGCTAGGAACAGGGGTCGCTGGAGTGGATCTCAATCCGGAACGGATCTGCGACGGAGCATAACATAGGCAAAGAAAGTCCCAAACTATGTCGTTTTGGGATCGGCACACCATGAGCATGGTGGGCCGATCCCACGGTATAATTTGCGTAGGAAAAGGGTCACAAATATTATTGGACCATAAAAACTCAATATAAAATAGCTACATCGGTATATATATCAGTTTAATTCATTATCTAAAAAGTTATTTTAGAATCATCAACCAAATTTCAAGAGCGTAGCTAGGGTCCAGCCCACCCTGAATTTCAATTTTTTTAGATTATTAAGGTAAAATTTTCATGAAAAAATTCAAAAACAAAACGTTTATGTTGACTCAGTCCAATATATCGTCCTTGTTGTGCCCGTGAGATGAGTATTATACAAGACAATTGAGAGGAGGAAATGTCATCTTGTTCTGGTGTGAGAACATATACAAATCAAAAGACATAACAAAATCTTATAAAAACAAATACTGACTTGACTATGATTTTGAACAATTGTTCCTCCATCTATATAATAACACTCTCTTGCGATACCAACTCGGCTACGACTAAGAGTGTTTATAATTGGACTGAAATTTCCTGATCTAGTCTATTCTACTTTGGTTTGGTTTGATCTGAAACTGAAATAAATCCAAGTTAAAACATCATATTAACATGTGAACGGTGAACCTATTAACATACCAATAATATAACAGCTATTGCTTATATATTGTTACTGTTACTATTCATATACTTATTGTGAACTCTGATGACACCTTATTAATTTGTTGAGTTATTGTTATTCTTTGAATATGTAAGATTCTTTTATTAAGACATGATTAAAAGACTTGAACTTATGATCTGAGTCATTAATCATGATTTGTGAGTTTCTTTTTATCTATTTTTAAATTTTAATATCTTTTACATCCTAGGTAGGACTGTAGGAGCGGGCAAATCAATTTTATGTTTGGTTTTTATCGATTTCGTTTCGGTTCGGTTTGGAACGGGTTGGAAGAATTATTACCAAACAAAATTCATACTATTTTTCTATTGATTCAGTTAGATTCACTTCAATTTGGTTCAGTTTGGATTTGTAATTTTTTAATAATATATGAAGGTTTTATTGAAATTCGATTCAATTTGGTTCAGTTTTTATCGATTTCGGTTCAATTTGGTTTAATACGGTTTGGAAAAAAACTACCAAACTCAAACCAAACCAAATCGCAGACTCTTTAACCTTTTAATTTCAATCTAGAATACATACGGTAATCTATCGTCAACGCCTATGAGATTGGTGACGTGATATTTTTAATGTCAATAAATTATCTAGAACTGCATAACAATTATGCAAAAAAAACCACAAGGTGCCATCTCCGGAATTTTTATAAGTTGCAAATTACGAAGTAGCCGGATGAAGAATGAAATGTTGAAATTTACATATGAAAGCAGCATAATCGTTGCTGCCTCCAAAATCCAAATGGCTCACCATCAATGTTTGCATTAGTATAAAAAACAAATAATCACTGACTACCTTTACCATTTTCTTGCACTATTTCATGCATAATGACACGCCGAGACTGGTGTGCGTCAAGCAGAATGCCTGAATCATTGCCAGAATGAATACCCAGACATTGTGAATAGAAATCAAGCAACAGTCTCTTCATAGGACATGGGCTCAACATCGGTCATTAAAGGTTATTCCCAAGGCTGAGCAATGGGCTCGACCTCAACTCATAAACGCATTGGTTAGTCAGGCCTCTTAGTCTAAACCCATCGGGTGGAACTAGAAAACGTCTAATACCAAGAAAAGAGCAAATGCCGATGAAAATCTTCCTCAGTTGCCAGACACTTCTTCGTTCTCTGGAAAAACAAATTGAAGGTCATCGTTGTCCCTATAGACTTGCACTAGAGCAGCAGCTTTGTACACGAAGAGCCCTAAAACTGCAGGCACCAGCTGAGTAGATCACAACGTAAACAAAACAGTCAACAAATTTGGGCCTTTTACAAAAGACTTATTTAAGCCAATATGGTAGAATGTTGCCACACTATACCTGGAAGTCAAAAAGAACGTGGTTAGAATGCTGAGATAACTCCCATAATCCATATATTGCTGCAGGAATAACAAGTCTGGTGGATGAAAGAGCAATGCCACTACCCTTAACTGTTCTCTCAAACAAATCCTTAAAGTCTTGACTTCTAATTCCAATTCTGTAAGGAAAGTAGTCCAGAGACGTGCAAAAGTTAAAAAAGGTCACTCCCATACAACAAACTGAAAATCACTGAAATTGTTTATGGATTTAAAAGTACTTCTTCTCTTTCTTTTTCATGAATATATCTGGAACCATTTCCCTTGTGAGCATATCCACATGCCGGCACAGCAGTTGTAAGTAAATGCAACTGCAGATATATACATGATACATTCATTCAAAATCATTAATTAGCAATCCATAGATGAGAAATATGGTGACCATCATAATTTAGTACTCCATCCGTCCCAAATTGATTTGCAAAGTCAGCAATTTTGGTCAACCAATGTTAAAGTTAAATCCTCCTTATTGATAAATGATAATTAATTCAATTTTTAATAATTAAAATTTACATATTCAGAAACTATATTAAAATCTCTTCAAAGTTGCAGATTCTAAATTAGAATATAATTAAAAATTGACATCCTAATTAAGTGAATAAATTGAAACTGTTTGACCAAGAAAAGTAAATTTTGCAAATCGATTTGGGACGGATGTAGTATCTTTTTCTCCCTTTTCTGCGTGCCAGACTGCCAGTGCGTAGGGGGTAAAGAAATCTGGATTCAGCAACTGACCATGTTCAAGACATGTACAATCATTTCAATAATGGGATATGGAACAAATATAACCCGATATAACTAACAAACAGATATATCTGGCATTCTGACCTTTTTTGGCAACAATTAAACACAAAAAGTATGGAGCATTGATTACCCTTGTCTAAAAAAGTTATTTTTGTAGAAGTTATATGTGTTTATTCCTTCTTCTTTACTTTACAAAAATTGGAATGGCGTACCTAACTTTTTTTAAGTTATTCCGCTTTTCTAAAAGGTTTTTTTTCAAAAATATTACTGAAATAAAATTTATTTACAAAAATATGACTAAAAGTTACTATAATATAATGTCATGGTCGGTAAGTGTAAAAATTGAACATATGTAAAGTTACTATTGTAGTCACTACACTTAAGAGGTCATATTTTTGTAAACAACCTTTAATTTAGTTATAAATATGTAATTGTTTTCCTTTTCTATCCAAGAGTATATATGTTCCAAATTTACACATTCTGTGATCAACTGTTCCAAGAAAAAGTTCATGGGTATAAATGTCCCCACATGCGCAAACCAGGGGTATATTTGTTCTTTTCTTACTATCACTAATATATGTTGTGACATGTGAATTTGCCAGTGCCCAGTGGCAAATCATATCAGCTTTGCCTCTAATTAGTTCAAGATTAGTTACTTGCTAAGCCAAGATCATGCAAAGGCAATTTGACTCGCAGAACAGTTTTGAGCAAAAAAGTGTCAGACTGAACCTGAAAAACACTCCTGTTGTGTAGCTTAGAGCAGCCTGTGATGAGCAACCAACACCAGTTATTAGTTGGGTAAATAACTCTCAGAATTCAACAGTTTTATCTCAAAAAATAACATAAGTGTGCATTTGACAGCGCAATTTGAGTGGTCCAACGTCAACTGCTCTCCAAACGGGCCATTTGGATGAAACACAACAACAACAACAACAACATCCAAGCCTTAGTCCCAAAAGATATTGGGGTCGGCTAACATGAATCGATACATGATATCACAACCAAAAGGAAAAGAAGGAATAAAGATAAAAAGATAAGCTATTATGAAAAGATAATATAAAAAAGATGAATATATATAAAAATGATAAAATAAAAAGGCTGCAAATAATGCATATATATATATAAGGATAAAAAAAACTAGGAAAAAAAAGATGAGGGAAAAAGATTAACAAGATCACTCCTTCACGTGAATACCCGCCCTCCACTTAGTTCTCTCTAAAGTCATGCCCTCATCCAACCCCAGAAGAAGCATATCACTTCGAACTCCCATAACCCACGTCTGTTTGGGTCTTCCTCTCCCTCTCTTCCCTGCCTCTTCTCCACACATCTCAAATCGCCTAACAAGTGCATCACTCGGTCTTCTACGCACATGACCAAACCACCGTAGGCGCGACTCCCGCATCTTGTCTTCGATAGGTGCTACTCCCACCCTTTGTCTGATTGTCTCATTCCTCATGCGGTCCTTCCTAGTATGCCCACACATCCAACGCAGCATGCGCATCTCTGCCACACTCATCTTTTGAATGTGACATTGTTTCACCGCCCAACACTCTACGCCATACAGTAATGCAAGCCTAATTGCTGTCCTATAAAATTTACCCTTCAGTCTAGTCGGCATACCTCGGTCGCATAGAAATCCTGACGCACTCTTCCACTTCATCCACCCTGTTCTGATTCTATGGGATAAATCTCCATCTAACTCACCGTCCTTCTGAATTATGGAGCCCAAGTAACGGAACATATCGCTGAATGGTATCTCCTTACCATCCAGAGTAATTCCGCTATTACCACTACTTCTACCTCCACCAAACTTGCACTCCATGTACTCTGTCTTGATCCGACTTAGTTTGAAACCCTTATTCTACAATGTTTGTCGCCATACTTCCAACTTTGCTTTAAGACCTGATTGCGTCTCATCAATCAATACAATATCGTCGGCAAACATCATGCACCACGGTATATCGTCTTGAATTGACTTCGTAAGTTCATCCATGACTATGGCAAATAAGAAAGGACTCAAGGCCTATCCTTGGTGCACTCCGATAGTAATAGGGAACTCTTCAGTCCTCCCTACACTAGTACGAACACTTGTAGTACAATCCTCATACATATCCATGATGATGCTGATATACTTGCGTGATATGCCTTTCCTAGTTAAGGCCCACCAAAGAACTTCTCGAGGTACCCTATCATATGCCTTTTCTAAGTCAATGAACACCAAATGCAGATCCTTATGAGCATCTCTATACTTCTCCATAAGTTGACGAAGAAGGTGAATAGCCTCAGTTGTTGAGCGACCAGGCATAAAACCGAATTGATTCTCTGAAATCTTCAGAGTCCTTCGAAGTCTTTGCTCAATCACTCGCTCCCAAAGTTTCATGGTGTGACTCATAAGCTTAATCCCTCGATAGTTGGCACATTCTTGTACATCACCTTTATTCTTAAATAAAGGGATAAGAGTACTTTTCCTCCAACTCGTTGGCATCTTGTTGTTTCTCCAAATCATGTTGAAGAAACTTGTTAACCACTCGACGCCTCTCTCTCCCAAACTTCTCCAAGCCTCGATCGGTATGCCATCTGGCCCCATTGCTCTTTTCCGTCCCATCCTCCTCAGAGCTTCTTTAACTTCCGTTGTTTGGATCCTTCTCACAAAATCACGGTTAACCATACAATCTGGTATGGACAAATCGCTGATATCTTGCGTTTTGTTCCCGTTGAATAGTGTATCAAAGTATGACCTCCACCTCTCTTTTATCTCTCCGTCGTCCATTAATATCCTCTGATCAACATCCTTCACACACTTAACTTTTGCAATATCTTGAGTTCTGCGATCACGAAGACGAGCAAGTCTATAAATATCTAGTTCTCCTTCCTTAGAGTCCAACTTTTCATACAACTCCTTGTTCACTTTCCCTCGTGCTTCCCTTACGGCTTTCTTTGCTTGTCTTTTAGCCTCCCTGTATGCTTCTATGTTCTGATCACTCCAATTTGTCCCCAACTTTTTGTAGCAATCTCTTTTGTTCCTTATGGCTTGTTTCACCTCATCATTCCACCAAGATGTGTCCTTTTTAGGTGGCCGACATCCTTTAGATTCTCCAAGTACCTCCTTTGCCACTTTGTTAATGGTCAACTCCATTGATAACCACACCTCATCCACCTGTGTTTCATTATCAATACGCCATACATCTTCACCGACCATTTTGTGTGTAAAGCTTTGTTGAAGATCTCCCAATAGCCTCCACCACTTTATCTTTGGCTCCACTTGTTGTTTAACTTGTCTTCTATGGTTCTTACCTCGAAAGTCAAGCACAAGCATCCTATGCTGAGTGACAACACTCTCACCTGGAATAACCTTACAATCAGTGTAGCTAGTTCTCCCAGTGGTCCGTACTAAGAAGTAGTCAATTTGGGTACTATTAGCTCCACTTTTATAGGTTACAAGGTGAGAGTCTCTTTTCTTAAATCAAGTGTTCATTATAGCCAACTCATACGTCAAGGCAAAATCCAAAATGTTCTTTCCCGCCTCATTCCTAGTGCCAAAACCATATTTGGATGAAACACAATTGGAACAATTTGACCATGAAACACAATTGGAACAATTTGACCGCCTATTCCAATCCCACTACTCAAAAACTGAACAGCCAGCAATGGTTATAAGGGTTCTTTTATTAGTTAAAAAATTCATAAAGCTGGGTTTGTACTGGTATGTTTAGGGTGCTATAATGTACAAAATGTTCTTCTTGTGCTTGGGTACACCTTATATGTGTAAATTAGAGAGACCTTGTGCTTAACTATCCAAATATTTGTTATGTTGGAATTAATCTATTCTTATCACATGGAGTCTTATCCTTTGTTATTGAGACAACATTTTTGCAAATTCCAGAAATTCAAATTTGAGTTTCTTTATTTTGATATTCCACAAAATAAGGCCAGATAGTCATTTGGATATTGAAAGCGGAAGTTCTGTTGCAGATAATTATACAATGACTATAGAGAATTACCTCTGGTGAAAAAGCTAGGAGGCAATATCCACCACAAGCAGTCCCGATGCTCACAGTTAAAAATAGCAAGTCCCTCTTCAGCTAATAACCGAAATTCAAAACATGAAACCCCTTATTCACAATTCTGTAGATGTTCAAGAAGCTTTGCAGGTTGGATTTTAAAACTAATAAACTCAAACAATATTTAGCAAATATATATTGAAGAACTTGCAGACGTCCGTCCCTTTTTCCCCCTCTTTTGCTTTTGAGGTTGGATTTAGAAATTCAGCAGTATGCATCTGAATGTACAGGGCTATCTGAATTGCCCTAACCTCTCTATGTTAAAGTTGTAACTTGTAACACAGAGCATGCAAGAAGGTAAAGTTTACAAAATTTTCTAAGGATGACCACTGACCACTTGACCAGATACATTAAGTTAAGGATATATCATATGCAGAATAATACGGAGTAAGAGTTTAAGATCATGAATGTATCAAGGAAGTGAAGGACTGAACATAGTTATGTTTGGATTATCTATTAAATAAGGAAAACAAGTTAAAATCAATCAAATACAATAAAATGCGAGAGCTTCAAGCTGTAAGGTTACTACATGAAGAAAAGACTTAGGAAGGGTGCTTTGCTGCAATATAGAAAATTAAGGATTAGTATACACTGCTTTTTTAATGACATTTTAAGCATTTTAAAGTCTATCATTCAGACTACATTCTTTAGCCCTTGTTTGGTTCAGGTTGGGGGGTGGTTACATATATGATGCTTTGTTCCATGAGTGAGGGGGGAGGAATTAATATTTTGTTCAATTAGTATGGAGGATTTTATAGCTTCTCCACTTTCCTTTCCCTCCCCCCTGACTCTTCCTACCAAACGCACACCACTCCCGTTCACTTTCCTCTCTCCCCTCCAAAACTCTACAACCAAACAAGATCTTAGTTTTTGGAATCCATTCCAGTAGTGAAGAAAACATGGATACAGCTGAAGAAACAATGAGACAGGGCTATATGAAGAAAAAATGTAGTACTCTGAAGTCATAGTAAACATCTCAAGGACTATCTTTCAGCAGAACTTCTTAGTTTCTGAAATCTCTTTCAATAGTGAAGACAAACAAAAAATGTAATTGTCAAATTACTAGGCAACTAAGATACCTCATAGACCCATATGAACAGTGAGAGACTGACAGTGTGACACTAGAATCCAGCTATTTATGATAGATGTGAGTCTCAAAGAGAACATACAGCTTCATATCTGAGAAAGTTCAGCATTTTCCATCTGTCCCTATCATCTTGTAGCTCCTGTACATGTGAATATGTGATCACAAGTTCTACTGAAATCAGTTTTTAAGGCTCCATTTGTTTCCAGGAACATAATTAACTTGCTGCGGAAATTCTTTTATGGCGCACATTATTCGTGTGGACGATTGATCTCTTTTTCTTTTATCGTTTATCTTATTTATCTTTTATGTTCTTATGTTTTTTTCTTCTAGCTTTTTATGCTCTTTTATCTTTGTATCTTATCTTTCTTATATTCTTATGTTATTGTTATCTTATATCTATTTATTTTAATCTTATCCGTTTGATCTTACTTTTTCTTCTTCTTCTTCTTGTCTGTCTTCTCTTTTTGGCATCAATATCATGGATCGATTCATGTTAGCCGACCACAAAATCTTTTGGGATTAAGGCTTGGATGTTGATGTTGTATGTATAGTATTGTGTTTGACCAACAACATCCAAGCCTTATTACCAAAAGATTTTGGGGTCGGAATTGAGTTTGACCGATGAAGAAAATATCAAGCTGCTTCAGGAAATAAATTCCCATTTCTCAAACGGGAAGTCATTTTCCACAAAGGCTAAAGGGTAAAATAGGTACATGAACTAACTTAAAGTGTTCAATTAGCCCCTTATTTAGGAGGTTCTGTCCGGCCGTCTCCAATTGGGACGGTTCCCGATGGCATTTTTTGATGATTTTTTTTTAGAATCTTTTTCATTAAGTCTAGTTTACCCAAATCAAATTTCAGCTAAAAAATAAATCGGGAAGGCAGTCAAATGATTTTCTGAAATGTACTGCGCTGTTTAACTGCGCAGTTATCTTCAAAAAATCTTTTGACTGCCTTCCCGGTTGAATTTTTAGCTGAAATTTGGTATGGGTAAACTAGACTTAATGAAGAAGATCCTCAAAAAAATTCATCAAAAATTCCAGCGGGAACCGTCCCAATTGGCGACGGCTGAGAAGAACCTCCTATATAAGGGGCTAATCGAACACTTTAAGTTAGTTCATGTACCTATTTGACCCTTTAGCCTTCCACAAAAGTACACGAGTCAGTTTGGATCCAGGAAAGTGCTTTGGAAAGATAATGTGAGCGAGAACACAATAGAAATCGGAAGGAAAATGTGGGGTGAAATAAAAACCAAGAGTTCAAGACTAATAAAAACCTTACTTGTTGAAACTCATTTTACTCAATGATGTCTAGTGTCTATGATATAATGACTAATAATTGAAGACGAAAAGACATGTATTTCACCTTTCTTTGTTATTTCCAGGGTAAAAACGAACATAAGAAAATAACCTTCTATACTCCATAGCATATTTTTTTCCCTTTCCCTAGCATTTTTCTTCATCCAAACATACCCCAAGGAATCAAAGAGAATACTTCCTGTCCTAAACCCCAGGAGAATCGGTAAATATGTTCATGTAAACAAAGAGAGCCAAAATATCTGATTTTTCCATTGAGAAGGAAAGAGTTTGCTAATATACCTTAATGGTTCTCTTCTTATTGACAGGTGGTGAGGTCTCACCTAGGAGCCATGCTCTGGAGCTCTTAAATTTCAAAAACCCACCTTCATTTCCTTCCCCTAAAGCCTGCAATTTCGTTTGAACCGTACAGATCAGTTAGTAAACGCTGAAGAACACCAGAAATTGAAAGAAAGTATTCATATATATTCACTACCTCCTCCAATAGCTGAACGTTATCAGTTGGTCCAGTCTCAGATTCTGTATATTCAACGTTAGCAATGTCTCTTAGCCAAACTTTATCAGAAATTCTAGCTATGAAGTCTCCATTCAACTTTCTCTCCTTCAAGAAGTCTCTCAAAACATAGTCTTCATCAACCCCGCTCGCTATTGACAATTTGTTAAGAAACCCAGGATTGTCATTCATGAATACTATAATTGAAATGAAAATCAAGAAGCGGGTGATAAGAGAGTGAGTACCGGGAATATATGATTTGAGGACAGAAACAGCCCCTGGGATTCTTGAACTAAAACTACGCCGGCTGGGAGAGTAGGTACACAATCCCGGTTGCAGAAATTGTGAAAAAATAGCTGAAGCATAACTCATTTTCACTTACCAATATACGGAGTATCAATCCTTATTTGCTGGAGTTATATGGGGAGGCCGATGAGGTAGCTTCTGCGATCCGTGTGGTCAGGATATTGCGAGGAACGAAAGTACAAGTACAAAAAAAGAAAAATGGTCGTTGTGCACCAGTTTTGTACACTCTCACCGTTTGAGCATATAGAATTATCCGTCTAAAGACAATTCTAGACTTATGTACACAATTCTGTGTACCTAATTGTGTAGAACTGTCCGTTCACGAATGTACGAAAGGTATACAACAAAATGTGTACATTTAGCCCAACTCCAAAAAAATGTACTACGTAGTAAAAGTGATGTTATGCCTTAGAACACTTATTATTTTCAATGTTCCAAAAAGGTTGAATCTCCCTCAGCCCCAAGCCCCCACTCGATAAGACATTTGAGAGGTTTTAAATCACGATGACTCAATCAGTTCAATGGTTATAACAATGTCGATCCTGCCTAAACTCGAGCCTGAGTCGAGCTCCATAAAACGGGCCTCGTACATAGTGTTTGTTTATCATATAGAATATAGATTCACTAAAATTGAATGATTAAGATCATTAAATATCACAAAAGTGCAATCTTTCATTGAAAGTCTTACATTATAATTCGTCGAGCAGTTGTAGATGCAAAACTAATCTATAGATTCAACACGTGATTTCATTTTCCTCTTTTCAAATCCAGACATAGATTTTGGAGGCGTAGTGCTAAAAAAAAATACATAACTTAGCGGAATCCTCAACAATACATACTAGTAATTTCTCTACAAAATACGAAGCATATAAATTGATTAATTGGGAATAGAAAATTCCAAAATTTCAATATTGATAACCTAAATATAAAAAACAAGAATCACCTAACATTTAAAAATTTATAAGTTAATCCATTAGGCATGACAAATCAATTTTACATCACATTAACATTTAGCAAATCTGTACAAAGTTAGGAAATTCTGAAAATACAAAAAAAAATACTAAACAACTAAATTACTAAAAATAAAAGGGTGAGGAAAGCTAAAGGAGTGGAAGCCATGATTTTTTCAATTTTTTGGGACATGAGGCTTGGGTCTCTTCAACCTAGCATAAGGCACGGGTCTGGGTGGTAGACCTTGTACCCGTACACATCAAAGGTTCAGTCCACCACTCAACAAATTGAGCTACCCGTGCGGGCAAAACACTTATTTTCATACTCCCTTACTTGAAAAACTTCTCTGTAGATAACATTCGTATTCTGCGTTATGCTTTGTTCGTCATCGTCAACCAACAAAATTTTCAATTTTTTTCTATTAGTAACTCTGAAAATCGCAACATAAAACTAACTATGAGAGAAAACGGGCTTCTTCGATAACAACCCCACATGAGAGAGAGATTGCTCTTGACTTTCATTGCATAAACAACCATTAATAGAAACTGTCTCCTTTGGAGTTTAAATGGAAGTCTCACATCTAAAGGAATTGGTGATAATCTTGGAATGAAAGCGCGTTCAGTCATGCTTCTATGAGTGATAACCTTGACTTCTGAAACATGGTCACCGAGTGTAGTGATTACGATTCTATTACCATTACACAATCACATAGAATTGTTTATGTTTCGCAAAAGCATCACGGGAGTCTGATAGGAAATTGATGTAACGTACCTCGAAAGTACATCAGCGCAAGTTTAAAATTTTCCCAAACAGATTTTTCCTGATTATGACAAAACAACGAGTATAACAATAATAACAAGTATGAGTCATAACTTATAGATCTTCCAACCTAGCGGTGATAATCTTTGACCTTAGGTATCCACATGATTTCTCCTTTCCGAAAGAACGGTTAGATCTCCAGAAGAGAAAGGCCAGGAAATCTCTTCACATGGAAATAAACCGGTAATACTGAATCTAGAAAACTAGACTTTTATTATGAAGGAGGAGGGTGTATTTATACTAGTTCTAAACTAGTTCCCCAATCACAATGAAAGTCTTTCTAATTAATGAGTTTTAATCCTGCTAGGATCAATACTCCTAATTAATTAAATAAGTAGATAAAACAAAACAAATTAATCATAATAATAATTGAGATGTGGTTGTACGCCACTTTCTAATTATTATACATTATTATTTATTTCATTTACTTTTCTTTTTAATTCCAAATTACAAAAGCAAATATCTACTTTATTTAATAAATATGCATTTTATTTAAGTATGATAAATCTAATTTATCTTACTTAATTAATTCTATCGAATAGAACTCTCCTTCAACTTCATGAATTAAATATGTTTAGTCTATTTAATATTTAATCCATTTTCAGTATTACGAATTAAATATTATTTAATCCAATTAATAATATTTAATTCCTTCTAACAATTCAATCGGAAGGTATAATCACTTGTTGTGTGACCCATAAGGCCTTATATATTAAGCACCGATCAAATTATGGTCTTAGTAGAATCCCTAGACGATTTACCAGACAAACTTAATATATAAGGACATTTGCGAGGATTATTTAAACTCCTTGTAATATAGAGCTCATAGTGATATGATATTTTCATTCAACGAACATTCAACTAAGTCTAGAACTTGATATTGTGTCTATTCCAATAACTTAGTCTCTATCTCTCAATCTTTCTAGATGGTCCATAACGATCATATTCGATATCCAAGACGAATATATGTTTGCATTGGCCAATGACTTTATGATCCATCTAGATATGAGAAGTAAATGTTCTCTCTTGATCTATTACGAGAAATGAATCCTTTCTTTTCTCAACTACTACTCAATGTGTTTCGTGATGCACCCGACTCATGTCGTATCTACCTCAATTGGAGTGCAAGTGTTGGTCATGGTCAAAGTACATCACTCCGCACATGTAGTACATATTGACCTCAAGTCGGAGGACTATTACACTACTCTATACACCGATAATCCCATAGACACATTAATAGAACTTATCAAATGATTTCTCGGTGGGTATGCCAATATTCTCTAAAATATCTATGTGACCATCATGAATTACAGGAACTCATAGTTGTGAGATCAACTATACTTTCTAAAAGTATGAAGCACTCCACATACCGATTTTATCGCATATCATCAATATCCCTTTCTTGATGATCATTGATCGTGGCTATTTTAGGACCTTATGTTATATCATATAAGCTATCACTTACTTATTGACAATCGAAATGCTTAATCATCAATGTGCAACACCGTATATATCAAATATATAAATCTGAATGTGATCAAGTGCATGTATCTCTAAAAAGTGATTGTTGCTAGGACATATATACTAACGGTACCCACCTTCAATGTGAGCCCATTGTTGGGTACGTACACCAGAAAGGCGAATTTTATTTAAAATTTAAGAGTATGCAAATCTGAAAATAAATCAACATTCGAATCAGATTTGCACATGTTGTATGAACTTAAATATGTTCTAGATGGTTGGGAAGAATTAAGCGAAACCGTGTAATCATAATCACCTATTGACATTATATAGAGTAGTAATAAGATTCAACATTAAAATAGCTCATCAACTTTATCGATCTTCCTTTTTCCATCATCTATTTGAAATCCATATCTACCACACTCTCTAATGTGAAATATTTCTTGTTCAATTTTTTCTTGCGAATCGAACACTTGTAAACTTTCATCCGCTCATGTAGACTTGTTCGTCCATGAATCTCCGAATCCTTTTTAGAAAAACCATCACAAGGAAATCTACAATTTTTTCAGAAAATCCCTTGTTTTTTCCTCAAGACCCTCACCATGATGCCTGCAGAGCCACACTTCACATCCCGAAGTATATGGGGCATTCATACAATATAAATGTTGTGCATTCGCACATGCTGAACACTTGACCATTAAATCCTTTCACTCCCAACTTTGACAACCCCACAAGAAAGAGTCGTTTTTTTGAATAACTTTTAATAGAAAATACAAGCTCACAATATTTGCATTGAGTGACTATATGAATGTAAAATGAAATAACCAACCCACCCCCAAATTGGTTTTCTCTGTAATTTAAAGCTAGAGCCTCCATTGCAAGAAAAGTATTCACTTAAGAGTTTTTAGTAGTCCTATAGTGTACAAAAGTTGGCACCTTATATAAAACGTCCGTGCAAACCAAAAGGTGTACTCCTAATTGGTGTTGAACCTTTGTTGATGTCTTTGGATATTAAATACACAAAAAATGTAGAAGCTAAGGTTAAGAACCTAATATTTTGCACTAATAATTACACCATTTTAATTAAATATAGAAAAATAAATATAATTTGATACATATTCGGAAGTAAATGCCCTTCCTTTTAGAATTTTTATGACTTGATTTTGTACGGTATTAAATTGGAATTGAAATAAAATACATGGTTATTAGTTGACTGATTACAAATTTTGGTACTATTTTTGGTTTTTAAAGTGGACCTAATCACATTGGTTTTATTTTATAAGTTTTCAGATTTTTCAAATATGATTCGCTTAGAGGAAAGACATTACTAAATGTATTTTAGTATTTTGTCATGTCATTCATTTAATTATTTAAAGTGAACACACATATTTGATTCAAAGGTAATTTCAATCTTAGGATGTATATACATTAACAAATATATTTTATAATTTTCCATACAATTCGTGATTGTCTTAAAGTGTACACAAACATATCTAATTTGAAGCATTATACAACAGGCTGTAAAAGATCATACAAAGATAAAAGACAATAGGCCATAAATAGTGCATCCGGATTATGCGAACACTGAAATACAGAAAAGATAAACGTATTAAGTTGTAAAAGTTATGAATAATCGAGATTACAAATCAATATACACTACCCCCTCCATCCCTAAATGTTCTTCCGTAGTACAAATGGCACACAGATTAAGAAAGTGAGAATTGTGTGGTGGAGAGTTGTGCAGAGGAAAGAGAAATGTGTAAGAACGTGTAAGAATTGCTGTGAACCACAAATTCTTTGCTAAAAAGGGAAAGTGAAGTTCTTTTTGGGACGGACGAAAAGGAAAAGTTCGAAGTTCTTTTAGGGACGGAGGGAGTAAAATATATGAATCGTCTTCTATTTTGCTGAAACATATCTTCGTGACTCCCAGTTTTGTTCTCATATTCTTGTATCGATAAAGTTTTCATAAATAGAAAAGATTGTGATACAATTAATAGTGATAACATAGAATTACATATCTCAATAGAATGACTCGTCAAAAGGTAGTTGTTAAAAATTGATAGAATATCTAAAAACGTGATATATGTACAATGTCTCCTTGATCTTTTTATTTTTCAAATCTGTACAGTTAGATGGCTATTTGCTGATCTTTCTCGCACAACATCGGCTGTTGGGCTTGGCTACTATAGGGATGCATCTGATCGCATGTCTGATGATCAGGTTTGATGTACAAAATATAACATTAACTATCATATGAATAGTAGTAAGACTAATTTTTATCCTTATGAAACAGATTACACGGATGCCATATATAGCCCATATGTTAGAGGAGTTGCACCCGGCAGGGTTCCATTGATATGTTTTGACATTGTTGAGTGTCGTTTGCCTGATTGTGTGCTGCGTCAGCTTGGCCATGAGCAGGGCCGGCCCTGGTGGTGTGCAGGGTGTCCAACCGCACATGGCCCAAAAAATTGTAAGGGCCCAATTTTTTTTTTGTAGTAGTATACTCTACTACCTCCGTCCCACTATGATTGTCCCATTTTACCTTATCGGTTCGTCTCATTAATATTGTCTCATACCAAACTTGGTAAAGTTTGTGTGGCTCTAAATCATTCTTACTTTTTTCTTACTTTACCAATTCAATATCAACCACATAAACAACTTTTTATTAATTTGTGTGTCACTCCCTTTTGTCCCAATGTTAGCGGGACGGAGGGAGTATTATTACTTAGGTGGACTAGGGCAAGGCTTTGAAGCAAGCCTGGTTCATCACTTCGCGTATTCCTCATATGCAAAGGAGGAGCGTGTATATAGGCACGAAGGAGTGATAAATTCTCCGTTTCCACCGGTGTGGGAATAGAAACAAAAAAGAAAAGAAGCGAGGCATGCGAGATTTAAACCCAGGTGAAAATAAAAGCATGCACGCTGATTTCTAAACATCAACCGCCGAACCAAATCAACTAATTCTTGAAATACGGACGTACAAGTTTTATATTACCTATTTGTTCTACAAAATAAATAATTAAAATACCTCTTAATAAAAATCGGTTCGGTTCGGTTTGAACCGATTTTATAACTCAAAAAACCTTCATTAAACCGATTTATGTTCGAGTCCCGACATTCGGGTCCCGTTTTAGTCGGTGCGGTTTCGGTTCGGTTTTTTTAACTTCTGTTGAAACTTTGAAAAGAAGGCCCAATTATTATTTTTTGCACAGGACCTTCATTTCCTCAGGACCGACCCTGGCCATGAGCAGGTCATTCCAGCAGCTGTGGACACATGTGTGGATCTTCATAAGCTCGATAAGCGTGGTAAGCCTACAAAGGATTGACCGCTCAGACATGTCTAATACGTCACTATATGGGAGAGGCGAGCGAAACTTGTTGTGACTGGGACACCGACATTACATTCATCGGTTTCTTTAGACTACATGAGATAGTATTATAACATCACACGGTTGTTTGTTTCTCCTTCTTTCAGGCTCTCTACTCACCATTATCAGCCTAGTTCAATGTCTTTGTACTTTATGATAAGTGTGCTACTAACTACTAAAGTAATTCATGTTCTTTAATTAACAATTTTTATTTGAAAATATAATTATAATTCATATTGCACATTTTAGACACGGGCTTTGCGGCATATACTTGAGCGAGCGACTGACACAGTGAGTGAGACGAACGACGTGAAGACGTACGATCAGGTTTTGACGAGCATTGTTTCGTTGTGTTCAGATGTGTTGGGCGAGTTAACTATGAAGATCTTATACATATGATCTCCTCTCATGATTCTATGACATATACATCTACCGCAACAACAACTTCTACATCTCAGAGTCGGTGTGACATAGTTGTTCTTCAGCCACATCAGCGGCATAGACGTAGGCATATGCGGCTACAACCACATCTCCATGACCAAGACAATAAAGAAGACCATGAAAACTTGTAGTCTGTCTCCATTATTGGACTTATTCATGTGCCCGAATGTTGTAGAAGTTTTTTGAATATATGAAACACTTTACTTTTTGACGTATGACCACCCACAAACTATTGAATATTATGCATATTGGATGTCTGACCAGGTGCATTGCCATGTTTCTGTAAAATTCTGTTATGTTTTTTATCTGTTATTGGATGATTCTGGTTTTCCGGTTTGGCGACTTTGTTTAACCCGGTTTGGACCCAACAGTATATCCGTAAATACTTTTAACCCGACAATAATTACGTAAATATTTATTTAAAGCGCATTAATTCGAAAAAAAACTCATAATGTTGGGAGGGACAAAAGGGGGAAATGCGTAATTAATTTAGAGCTACAGTAAGTAATAATAAAACGACATTTTGAAATACAGCTTCCATGATGAGAAAAAATAAAAAATTAAAAAATGGTATTTTTAAATACCACAAATTCATCATCATCATTATCTTTCATCATCATCTGTTATTGGATGATTCTGGTTTTCTGGTTTGACGACTTTGTCTAACCCGGGTTAGACCAAACAGTATATCCGTAAATACTTTTAACCCGACAATAATTACGTAAATATTTATTTAAATCGAATTAATTAAAAAAACTCATAATGTTGGGAGGGACAAAAGGGGGAAATGCGTAATTAATTTAGAGCTACGGTAAGTAATAATAAAACGACATTTTGAAATACAGCTTCTATGATGAGAAAAAATAAAAAAAATTACAAAATGGTATTTTTAAATACAACAAATTTCATCATCATCATCATCTTTCATCATCATCCCTTCGAACTCTCGACTTGCCGAAGCACATTATTTCGGCACCTAACTACGCCAGAGAGAGAAGCCGGTGACATTGATTGTAAGAAGGTGTATATAACCAAAATACGTTCTTCCATTTATTTTTCAAGGCGCATTGCTATTTGACAAGAACAAAGGTTTCCACACGAAAACCCTAATCCAGTTGGGCAGCAGCTAAGAGGCTAAGAAAATCTCCGGCAATGGCCGTGCTGAGCTCGAAGCAGGTGCTGCAAGAGAGCAACACCAGCAATTCCGATTCCATTACTTCTCTAGCCCTCACCGCAAAGGCTCTCTCCGACGTAACTTTCCTCCAAAACAGCCGATTTTTAACATTTTTTCAGCTTCACACTTCAGAAAACCTTCATTCGCATTTGTTTTATTTTTAAAAATAGGTATCTTGCTTGGACGCGTTCAAGAACATTCAAAGGCTCGACCTTAGCTTCAACAGCCTGACTTCCATTGATGTAATTGACTAGCCTCGTCTTCCGTTTATAATTTAATCTTGTCTGGTGCTTCTTCAAATATAAATTGACCTCTTTTTTTGGTGAAATGGGTCTTAGGGGTTGAGGTCATGCGTAAACTTGAAGTGGTTATCAGTAGCCCAGAACAAGCTTCAGAGTTTGGAAGGGATTGAATGCCTCGTTAAACTTACTGTAAGCGTCACATATATAACCTAAGCTAAGTTTTTATCCTGCAATATTCTTTTAGTTTGTTTCTCTGAGTTAGGTTTAGTTATTTATTGTTTCATGTGGGGAGAAGCATAGTTTCAACTTTCAACTACTTCAGTCTCTTCATTGTTGAACAAATAAAGGTTACTGGGACTGTCCATGAAATATATGCCCTAATTCTAGCATTTGGTTATGATTGAATTTCCGGGAGAACTGAACTATGGCCCCGTGAGGCTTGTGTGAGTTTGAATTCTTGATTAAGAGTCTATTAATTCTTTCCATAATTAACCTTGCTGGGGTGATGAATTGGATCCTTTTACATTCTTTCGTCATCCTTTTCAGCATAATTATTTGTTTACTGGAAGGTTGTTCTATGAATACAGTTATGCTTCAGGCCTTCTGAATAACTTGAATATTTGATCACCCATCTGTTAGGTATATATAAACTCAAATGAGAAAGAGAAGGTAGCTTCTTATAAATTATTATTTTATCCCTAATCGTACCAGGTATTAAATGCCGCAAAAAACAAGCTTAAATCAGTGGATGGGCTTAATTCTCTTGTAAATTTGCGTGCACTGATCTTGAATGGTAAGCTTTTCATCTCAACTTCTATTTGCCATGAAATCAATGCTTCCTATGGATCAACTAACCTCCTCATTTTCCAACTTTTCTCCTTGTGCAGATAATGAGATCAGTTCTATTTGTAAACTTGATCAAATGAAAGACCTGAACACTGTAGGTGTGGCTTACAAAATTATTTTGTACTGCAGTTCAGTTTCAAATTACAAGCTTTGTTTTTTTAGTTTTCCATTGATACAACAACAACAACAACATCCAAGCCTTAGTCCCAATTTCCCAAAACTCCCAAAAGATATTGGGGTAGTTTGCCATTGATATCTTGAAAAAATTAAACTGTTTTTAGGTCTTCAAAAAGATGTTAATCGCCCTCTACTGCTTTTTCGTTATAAGGTAAAAAATATTGAACTCATTTACTTGCATTTGGCATCATTCTGCAGTTCTTTCAAGGAATCCAATACGAGAACTAGGTCTGTCTCTTGCTAAAAGAAATTCGATATCAAAAGTAAGCAGTTTCCTATTTTATTGATCATTAAAGTTCATTACCTTACTATATGCATCTGTTCTCAAGCGCCAGCTGTTATTGTAGTTGTCCCTTTCAAACTGCCAGCTGCAACTTATTGGCTCTTCACTCAAATCATGCACAGAGTTAAAGGAATTGCGACTCTCTCATAACGAGATCACGGTTTGTGCTAACATCATAAGTATGCTTTTCCATTGACTCATCTTACTCACCATCTAAGCAATATCATATGATCTTCAATTTCCAGACACTTCCAAGTGAGTTGGCTTGCAATAACAAATTGCAAAACTTGGACTTGGGAAATAATGCGATCCTTAGGTGGCCTGATCTTAAGGTAGGCATTTTATTTTGGATTGGAGATTGTAGAATGTAGTGCAATATAAGGCAAATACTTTAAGACATTCATGTTTCAAGAATTGATAGGAACCCATTAGTATAATAATACTAATAATAATAGAAGTATATTAAATAAGTGTGATAGTGTATAAGTAAGGATCCCGGGCCATGTCATAAAATATGGGCTGGGCCGTTAGGATATATAATTACTATAAGAATGGGAAGGGGAGAAGATGGGAGTTAGGCAGAAAATTGGATTTGGAATTAGGCTTGGGAGTGGGAGACGACTCGAACAGTCTCAACAGTATCGTTCTTCTCTATTTTTTCTATCTATGCCATTGTAATCCAGTTCAACCTCTGAAATCTTCATCAATAATATCCTATTTTCTACTGTGATATTGTGGTATCTATCATTGGTATCAGAGCACTCGCTCCTGGTGATCGGAATTGATTGGCGACCTCAGCAACACTCACGTTCTGTGGTGGATGGTAAGAACAAGAGCGAAAATGGAGTTTCACATGGATACTCTGGAACGGAATATGACAGAGATGCAGGGGAAACTGTCCGAGGTACAAGAGGGGTTATGATCATCGGTGGAGGAGCAGCGTACTGCAATGGAAAATTTGGCCGCAAACTTCGCCAGACAGCTAACAATGATGAACGAACAACTCAAGATTAGAAGGCGATCGCGGTCGTCAACAACGTCCTTCAGTTCGCAGATGCGAACTAATTCTTCCAGATTGTCGCTAACTGAGCAGTTTTCTTCTCAATCGCGAGAAACTTCTTCCAGTTCTCTGGTTTCGTCACTGGACTATTCTCTCAGTTTGCAATCTTCTACGCGAACTACTGTTTCTCCCTACAGCTCACCATTGTGAACAGTTTTGCCTAATTCGCAGACCTCGTCCCGTGCACAGGTCTATTCTCCGTCGCGAGCACTTCCTTTGAGTTATCTGGCTTCTTCGCGAACGTCATCTCATAGTTCACAATCGGGAATTTCTTCGCAATCGCAGTCGCAGACAGTTTCTACCAGTTCACAGGTTTCCTTACCTATATCTACTTCCAGTTTGCAATCTTCTACGCAAGTCGTATCTCCAGGTTCGCAGACTTCGTCATACACCAGCAGCTCACTTCAAGGTACAACGCGATCAGAAGGAGGAGCTTCCAGTTCGCCCTTGCTGTCCGAGTCACAGGAGTCTGGCAATCCACGGAAACCTCTCTCTGAGGATACATTCATAGGTAAAGATGAAGGACAAGAGGAGAAATCTGCTGTGGCGAATCAATTCTTGACTGCCCTGGAATATGAGTCAGCTGATGACAAAATTGTTGGTTCTGAATTGGAGAACCAGGTGATTTCTGAAAACTTTATAGTTCAGGAAGCATCAGAGGGAACTGCTATACCTTGGCAGTCGAACTTAACAGCTACAACTGCAATTAGGAAACCACGGATGGAATGGATGTATGTGAACAATGAGTGTGTACAAGAGGGACCAGTTGAGAAAGATGCTAGTGGAAGGCTATGGTCAAAGAGGGAAATTGATTGGACCACTAAGTGCTGGACTTCAGGGATGACCAGTTGCAAGAGGCTTAACGAGATTGAGGAAAATAGATGGGCGTACGCTACCCGAGTGCCAGTTCTTACTCCACCTCAGTTTGGTGAGGCAGGATTATCCATATTGCACAATAGGGTGGCTAAACACTTGGACATAGATGGTGTTGGGGAATTTGTAAAACTAACACCCCAAGGCAAGAGGGTCATGTTAAGCTCATGGTGTTTTTCTCAAATTGCACAGGATATGCTCTCTGGTGAGCCCAGAGATGTAGAGAGTGCTACTGCCCTGCTGAAGGATGATGTTACTAGGAATCCACAAACAATGATAAAAAACTACAGGACTGAGCTTTCAATTGCTCAGCTTGTCTCAGTGACTCATGACTATAAAGCTTTTCATAATGGGGATGAAGCAGCATTGTCGGTGTCTTTTCCTTTGGACAAATGCAGTGCTTTGGGTGGACTCTTACTGGAATCCTTGCTTTATGTGTGGGAACACAGTGATCCAGTTGCCTTTTGTGTAGCAAAGGCTTCAGATTATGATAATCTTGAGAAAAGCGGAGTACACAAAATACGGGAGGCTAAAATCTCTAGGGAAAGTTGGAAGAGAAAAGACTCCAAAGAGTACAAACTCTGAGCACTTGATGATTCGTAACACACTAGCTGGAGGATCTGATAATGAGTCAACTAAGTATCTGGCGTTTCCTTGGGTTCTGAATGATTATTCATCCGAACACACAAGGAGTGTTATTGAAGAGGGTGATGTTACTATGTTCATACAGTTTCTCAATTCACTCCATGATGATGATGTTTGTGATCAGGCTGTTTGGGCTTTGGGAAAGATTGCTGGTGAAGCCACAACCTGGTTTTTGTCAAACTCCTATAGATGCAAGCCACCCCCACCATCTGACCTGGTCAAAGCTACACTGCCCTTTATTCAAGCACTAACCCATATGAATGATGAAGTTAGGAAAGATGACTGTTGGTCACTTTTGTATCTATTGTATGGATGTGAAGGACTTGCCAAGCTGGAAAAGCTCCAAACTCATGGCAATAATGGGATGCATGAAGAAGCTGTGAGAATCGTAGAGAAATATGGGGCTGAGCAAATGACAGAGAAGGTTCAAGTAATGAAGCTCCTATTCCAGAAAGCAGTGAGGTACTGGGAAGGAAGAAGCGCAAGGATGAAAGTAAAGCTGAGTCCAAGCCGGTTCCTATCACCCACCTTGAGGACAAGGTGGTTGTCTAAGGAGGAGATATGATAGGAACCCATTACCATTAGTATAATAATACTAATAATAATAGAAGTATATTAAATAAGTGTGGTAGTGTATAAGTAAGGATCCCAGGCCATGTCATAAAATATGGGCTAGGCCGTTAGGATATATAATTACTATAAGAATGGGAAGGGGAGAAGATGGGAGTTAGGCAGAAAATTGGATTTGGAATTAGGCTTGGGAGTGGGAGACGACTCGAACGGTCAACAATATCGTTCTTCTCTATTTTTTCTATCTATGCCATTGTAATCCAGTTCAACCTCTGAAATCTTCATCAATAATATCCTATTTTCTACTGTGATATTGTGGTATGTGATATTGTGGTATCTATCAAGAATTGAAGGCAACCATAATTTTTGAGTGATATTCATGTAAACCCAATAATACCAAATAATCTAAGATTTAGGAGTGCACTATAAGTGACCATTCACAACTTGTATAAGCTGGTGCCTCGATTGAGTTGACTATAAAACGTACCTTACTCATGTTGTTATTATTATTATTATTATTTATATCCTACTCTAAATTTTCCTTATTATTCTGACTTTATTTGATCCTAGGTTCTCTCTTCACTAATTAACCTGAAAAACTTGAACCTTCACGGGAATCCCATTGCTGAAAAGGACGGCCTGGTGAAAAAGGTGAGTTCTGCACATGTCATGTGATTTCTATGTATGTAGCTTGCTACAAGCTTATGAAGTATGAATTTTTACAGATTCAGAAACTAGTGCCGAATATGGTGGTTTTTAATGCCAAACCCATTAGCAAAATCTTGAAGGGAGAATCGGGAAGAGCCAATACCTCTCATGATGTTGACATAGTTCAGAATGTGGGAACGAAAGGTCTTCCAAGAACCAACTCTCGAAAACATTCTTCTCAAAGCGAAAATGTTGGTGATTGTGATGTGAAAGAATCAAAGCCTAAAAAGCAGAAAAGAGAATCAAAGAACGAGAATAAAAAGAATGAAATTATAGAGGAAGCTTCTGATCATGATTTGGATCAGTTAGAGAACAGAAAGATTATTAATAATGACAGTGTAATTGGAACCCGGAAAACCTCGAAGCCCAAAACAATAGCATTTGATGATGGAGAGACACCATTTATGAATCTTTTTACGGATGATGCATCAGCTAATTCCTTTGGCAGTGATAATCCTGGAGTTGGTCAGAGTGTTGATGAAACTGTGGGATCAGTTACTCACACCAAGAAGAAAAGGCAGAACAAGAAACAAAGTAACATGCTCACTTCAGTGCAATTGTTAACAGCAGTTGATGAAGTTGGACTGGGTGGACCATCAATGTGGGATTAGAAAAAACATTTCTTCTAATCCTTAATCCTCATAGGATCAATGGTGCAAGCTTGCGGCTTTTGCATCGCCTGATTTTCATCACTACATAATTCCTTTTATTTTAGTGTGGGGAGCATTTGATTACCAAAATCTTGGACTTTAGTATGGTGTACTAGGGGTGGGCATAAATTCCGAACCAAACCGGTACCGAACCGTCCCGTAATGGTACTGAACCGAATACCGGGTATTTAAACGGTTCTATATATTTTTATCCCGTACCGAAACCGTACCATTTGAAATGGGTACGGGACTGGTCCTAGATTTTGAGAACAAAAAAATACCGGACCGAACCGTTCATAAATAATGCGTTTGAATTTTTTATATATTTTCTATATCAATAGATCTAGACCAACAATTTTATACTCCAAGTACGTATTCATGTGTCCCTAAGATATCTAAAATGTGTTGTTTATATATATTGTTAGTTTTTCTTTTTAGATAATTTATGTTATTTTTTGGTATGCATGTATTGAAAGAATATTAAAATTTTAGAAATCATTAATGATTATTTATTTCTAGTAATTTAGCGTACATGACTTTTTGTTGTATCATGTTTATGCATTTTTTACAACTTAATTAATATGGTTTAAATTTTAGCTCACAAGGTTCAACTATAAATTAAATTAGAACTACGGAGTAATATTTAACCTAGAACGAAGAAGAACGTTGAAGATTTCTATTATATTCAACAATTTGATGATATTCGCTTTTAAATTTGTACATGACTTTTTGTTGTATCATGTTTATGCATTTTTTACAACTTAATTAATATGGTTTAAATTTTAGCTCACAAGGTTCAACTATAAATTAAATTAGAACTACGGAGTAATATTTAACCTAGAACGAAGAAGAACGTTGAAGATTTCTATTATATTCAACAATTTGATGATATTCGCTTTTAAATTTGCACATGAATTTAGCAAATTAAAAATGATATTTATCTCTTGCGTCATTGTTTTGTTATACTTTTTCTTAGTTGTGTTGCACTATTTGTGTATTTGTGAATTTTAGTATTACTAGGTATGCAATTTCTTGAATTTATTTCAACATTTCATGTGAGTTGTTTGGTGTGATGATATCTACTAATTGCAAGATTTGTTCAAAAATTTCAGCATGTGTTTGTCATTGTATCGTACCGTTTTGTACCGTTCTGAAATGACATGGTACCGAATGGTTTTATCCTTGAAATCGGACCGTACCGGACCGTTAAAAACCTCACGGATACATTACGGGTTTCACCAATTTACCGGACCGTTCCGGACTGCGCCCACCCCTATGGTGTACTGCAAACATTGGGTTTGTTTGGGGGTATAGGTGGACTCGGGCTGGGTGGCCCGACCCGGAACCGGCCCGGGACCGGTACTGTTCCGACCCGGCCCGACCCGGTGGCCTGGTTAGTGACCGGTCCAGGTAGGCCTGACCTGTGGGCATTTATGGCCGGGCCCGGGTCACGCAAAACAAGGCCCGGCCTGGCCGGGCCCGGGCCTGGTTCGGGCCAAAATTGATTTTTAGTGCAAATTACCCGAATGGCCGAATGGGTCACTTTTACCCACCGTATTTCGTTTATGTCCCGAGCCCGTTGTTTTTTCATTTATAACTTTCTTCTTTTCACTTTGAGTTTTTATATTTCAAAAATAGATACTCTGAACAAGACGTTGTATCCGGGAGATTAGTATTTAGACCGGAATGGTCTCCATAGATAAGTCGGCAGATTCACCTTCAGGAAAACGGCAGAAGAAGTGCCCAAACTTCTCTCTAGTCTCCTTAATCACCTTCATCCTCTCCGTCACCTGAAAGTTTCTAAAATCCTGCTCCTAGATTCGGCACTCCTCTCTGACCTCGATGACCCGTTTCCTAGTGAACGCCTGACCGATCTCGCAGAGAGTGGACCACGTGCACTAGCTCATACGCGGAAACGTAGAAGTAGACATCCAATTTGCGTCGAAGTGAATTCGAAGAATGCTCAACCTGGCCTGCTTCACGTGCTCTAGGTCTGAGGAAGAGATGTTATCATATTGGTCAATCATTGGAGCTATATATGATGACGTTCAGGTCTGTCACAGGAAACTTTAAATTACAATTTTGTTTAATCATTTACATTTTTGAGCTTATGTATTTTGGTGTGAATTGAAGTTTATCATTGATATTAGGCATGATTGGTTTTAGCTTGCCGATGTGTATGTGATTGATGGTATCTTAAATGTTTTGAGTTCTCTGTTTTTAATGTTTATAGATTGTTTGAAAGATTGAAGTAGAAAAGTTTATGCTTCTTCATTAGTTCAAAGCCAAGGGTAACATGTTTGCTGTTGCGATACGATCTGTAGGTTAATATTTGTATATTTCGTTATTTTTTGACTTTTTAGCTGTCTCCGCTTCATATTCCTGAAATCCAGTAAAAAATTGTTGAGAGAGTATAACACACATCTAGCAATGCCAAATTCAGTAAGGTTGATGCATATGTTTACAATTCTGCTCCTTTCATTCTGTTAATGAATGGAAAGTGAAAGGAGTTGCTTAAAAACAGACACTCCATATTAGTTATGCAAATGGAATTGCCAGTGGTTCTCTAATGAAAGTGAGGAAACTAAGAAAAGATAGTGGTTCAAAAGATAGTGGTTCTGCTATCATCTAAAATTGAGGGTTAACAACTTACAGCAAAAGGAATAAAACACTATTCATGTGCACAAATAAGAATGGAAGTGCTTGAATGGCAGTATCTTTGTGCTGAATTGCCAGTGCTTGAATTCCATTTGGATTTCTCTAATGAAAGTGAGGGAACTAAGAAAAGGCTTGACTTTGTGGCTTGGATTAATAAGACCCTTGTTGCTCGTAGTGGAAAACTGGAAATTATCTAAAGAAATTGAAGGTTGTTTTCATTTAAAAGAAATGTTTTGCTCTGGATGTTGATAATTGGCCAGAGTTTGCCTTGAAATAGGGCAAAAGAAGTCACTTTGACATTAGACGAAAGCAAAGATTTTTACACTCTTCCTGAAATGATGTATTCGAATTCTTTTTTACATGAATGTCTTTGGATGGTTGCATTTTGGATCCTGGAAGAACAATCCAGTGGCCTTCATTGGCTTCTTTACAGATCTCTGACGTCGATTTGCCTTAGCATGTACTTGAAATGATATTATCAGTCCAGTTTTGAATTCAATGGATCTTAGTGGTCGTTAGGGATTCACTTATTTGGAGATCAACTAAGAGTCTATATGACCTCCGGGTGCAAAACTTTGAAGATGAAGAACAAGAAAGTGGCTATTTGTTGCATTTATCAGCACCCTATCTAAAATCTTTAAGTATTTCTCTGTATCCGGTAGAAAGGAAGTTGAATCTCATTAACCTCTCATCTCTTGTTAGTGCTGAATTTATTTTTCTGAAGACTAGTGTAGCTTGACCTCTGAGGTTCTAAGTAATGCAAAGGAATATTTTGAGAGAGAAAATGTTCAATTTCAGTCTTAGTTTCTTATTTTGGTATCTTCAAGTTGTGGATGCCTTTTTGTGTTATTCTGTCATATAGGCTTATTAATTTCTTGTAGTAATTTATTCAGATTTTTTATCATAGTGATTCCATTCCCCCATTTGCAGGCACATTATAAAAAAAGAGTATATGAATATGTAAAGACGAGAAGATTTACAAGGAAAGTGAAGATAGCGGAGAGAGACTTGATAAGTTGTGTATTAAGGTGCAACATAAAAGGAATAAGAAGTGAGAAGAACCAAAAGAAATATAGATGTAATATATAAATGTAAGAAATTGTAATAATGGATTATATTATATGTATTTTGTGATATTTTTATTTATTGTTTTTGTTGCTATTTATTGCATCACATTTGTTGCATCGTGTTACATTTTATTGCATCGTGTTGCAGATTATTCTACTGTGTTGCTTATTGTTCTTTATTATTAATTTTAATTTTTGTTATCTATTTATATTATATTCATATTCGTTTGTAATTTGGAATAAAAAATAAGATATAGGTATACATAAAAACACCTAAAATGATAAATATGGATTTATGAATAAACAAAAGGAAACATGAAAAAACAATAAAAAACGATAAAAACAAAAAATAATTAAAGTTATTAACTTAGAGAAACACAAAGAAACCATATGCAACAGAGAGTTTTCGAAACACAAAGAAACACAAAGAAACAATATACAACATAGAGAAACACAAAGAAACAAAATAGAGAAACACAAAGAAACAATAAATAAATTGGTTAACTATTTTTAAAATATTACATTACTAAAAAAATTATATATTTTTTATTTTCACATTTTTCAATTTTTAATATTTTCTTTATTTTCATATTTATATATTCAATTTCTATAATTCACACGAGTTTTTAGTGTATCTCAATTTATATATTTTTTATAAATTTTAACAATCTTATTTTCTATTTTAATTTTATTTTTTCAAAATTTAGTTTGATTTTTTCCTATTATATTTATTTGATACTATGTATTTTTCAAATTTTGTATATATATTTATAATTTTTAATTTTTTTAACTTTGTATGTATACCAATTTCATAAAAATTACTCTTTCATAATAGTTTATAATTACTTCTCATATTTTTATATAATTACAAAACATTTTTATCTCATTTACATCTTTGTTTTTAAAATATTAGGGTACTTTTTCAGCTTAATTTCAAATATGAATAAGTATTTATTTTATTTTCCAACTTTTATAAATTTTAAGCATTTATTGTATTTTATTACATTTTTCAAATTTAAACAATTATTTTAAATTAGAGAATATATATATAATTTTTTTTTGCATTGTTGTATTGTTTTTGCACTTGAATTCTTCCATGCATGTTTAATTTTTTGGATTCGTAAGTGCTATTAGAGCATAAAGTCAGCATATGGATTCTTTTTTATTATTCCATCAACAACGACCCGTTACTTCCCTGGTAGTATTAATACACAAGGTCTATTATTGAAAACAAAAACCTTCGGAGTCTACGTTTGAAAAGAACTTTAAGATGGAACAAATTTGATATTATTTTCTGTTTTTGTCTATTTGTGATAAATTCCTTTTTTTCCATTTTTTTAAATTTTCGGGTTGGGCTTGGTATTTTGGGCCATTTGGGGTGGTTTGGGGGGTTGGGGGTGGGAGGGGGGTTAATTAGGAAGAGGGAAAATAAAATTGATAATAGGCCCGACCAGGCCTGGCCCGGCCTGAACCCGATGGGTACCCGGTCCGGTCCCGGGCCCATCTATTCAGAACCGGCGGCCCGGCCGGGCCCAACCCGGCCCGAGTCCAACTCTATTTGGGGGTTCTATTTGACTAGCTCAACACAAACTCGAGGAAATATGGATGGATTTTCTATGACGTCGGGCCGGCCGGGCCCAAACGTCGTGCCCACACTTATCTTGTAGGTGGTGTGTGATGAAAAAACTTCACCGTATTCAGGGCCGGTCCTGCTTATTTCTGGGCCTATGGACGGTACGTTATTCTGGGCTTATATCCAAGACAAACCGTAAACCATATACTCCCTCCGTCCCGTTGGAATGTTCCCCCGTTCGGTTTACGATGCTTGACTGACGATAAAGCACTTTAATCCCTGTTCACACTCCGCTTATTTTTAGTAAATAAAATTTACATATTCAGAAATTACATTAAAACCGCTACAAAGCCTGATCAAGAAAAGTTTAATTTGATAAAAATTTGATATATAAAATAAAAGATTAAGAGTGACCTAAGTTGACCAATGAATAGTGAATGGGAACATCCAACGGGACGGATGGAGTACTTATTTAATTTGAAATATGAATTATAATAAAAATATCCAATGAAGTTCTAACATAAAGGCGAGAATCACTTTATTATTATTATTTAAGTTACATATTTGGGCAAAAGTAACAACACGAGTATTGGATAAAAAGAAAAAAACATTGCTAAAAAACGTTTCTCGTAGATCAATGTGAAGCAAATCATCAATAATCGCTTCATAGGCAACTTTCTTTCCAATAATAAATATGACAAACAATAAAATTGCCACATATAATAACACTAAACTTTCTTTTGAAATGATAAATGAAAAAAATATTACTACATATTGAATTCATAAGTTCAGAATGATTATTGATCGCTGATGAGAGTCTAAAGTTTGAAGTTTGAAAGAATGAAGGTTTTCAAAGAGACAAAATGTTTAGCCGCCAAGAAGACTCGCGCAAGAAGTCTGCCAATTGGACGTCCTCTAAAACTACTATTAGGAACTCAGATACAACTAATTGAAATTTTGGAAACAAATAAATAATTCGGATGAGATTTGAGAGACTCTAAAATAATTACGTAGTATATAAATTTGTTATGTTATAATTAAAATGAATAAAATGCCTTATAGAGTAGATAGATGTGAAGACCGAAGAGACACGTCTTTTATTGATGCAACAACAATTGTATTGCTTTTAAAAACTACAACTGATTCTACTTAAAATTAATGTATATTTTCTTTTATAAACTTGGCATTGTTTAAGACTTTTTACTTAAATTTTGGATTTTCAAATTATCAACAACTCAACATAATTAAACATTAGGCCTAATTAATTGAACTTAAGAATAAAAAAGAAGCCTACTCACACTATATATAAAGAAAAACATTTGGGCCTATTTTTTCTTCTATTTTTTTCGGACCTAGGGCGGTCGTCCATCTTGTCCCCTCAAAACCGGCCATGGTCCGTATTGGATGAGAAATATCCTAACTTATTTGGTCTTGCTGTTTTTGTTTTCGATTCATAAAAATGCAAAAAAAAAAAAACCTTCAAGAATCAAATGATGCATGCATGTGATAATATTTTATATACACATGTAATTCTCTCTACATTTGACTTGGCACAGTTTTTAATAACAGGGGAACTACATGGTGAAAATTTATATAAAGTGGGTAGTCGTGCCTTGCATGTTACAAATCATTTATTCCATGTGGGTTCGAAATAATTATAACTACCCTAAGCTAAGGGATGGGTACCAACTGTCTCTTATGCACTCCATGGCTAAGGGAGTAACTGTGAGAATTTGGGAAAAGGGTACTACATCTTAAGTTTGGGATATCGAGAATTTACGAAAAGGGTACTCCATTAGGAATCCCGACAGATATATTTATATAGAAAACAGCCTCACATGGAAGATACTCTCTCGGCTAGTAAGAAGAGGGGTTCAACGACTGAAACTCTGGCTTAGTTACAAGGGTGCAGCTGTGGAGGTTTGCCCATATGTATACAGAAGGAAGTTTTGGCCAAAAGAATTGGAAGGACAGACATCAGGGAAATAATACAATGCACAAAGACCATTTGGTCCAACAATATATCAACACTAACGATGTTTTCATTTGGACTGGAATTTGCTTGTTTAGTCTTATCTCGTCTGGTATGTTAAAGTGTGATCTGTTTTGAACTGATCTGGTCTGATTTGGTCTCTGTGTATTTGATAACCGTTCAAACCCGGTTTGGTTTGGTCTGTTTAAGTCTGATCTGGTCTAATCTGTTTGAGTCTGATCTGGAACTGAAAACGGTCGAAAAGAAAACATGGATTATCGGCATTTGATTTTAAAACATGTTCTGTATACACGGGAGAAGGGCTCTTTAAAACAGGCAGGGAGAAGTAATGAGAGGACGATGTTCTTCTACATACAGATCCACCGAAAATCCCGTTAGACGTGTCCATAACAGTCAAACGTGTGCATTTATTTTGGACTGCTGTTTTTTATTTACTCCCATTTTCCTACGTGCCGCCATGCCGGCTTTGACTTCTTCTCATCCGTTGACCAAATCATCCCTATTTAAACACTCCCAGTTCCAAAGCCCTTATGACATTCATTCTATAAGATACTATAGTTACTCTTATCCACTTGTCCCAATGATGTCCTGCCCCACCACCACCCCCACCACCGGCCCCGCGGAAGGGACGGCGATCACTGCCGTCCCTCCCGAGATCATTGAAACCCACATATTGACCCGACTTGACGGCCCAACGCTCGCCTCCGCCGGCTGGGCCTTTTCTGAACTACGCACAATTTGCTCCGATGAGAATCTCTGGCGCCAAATCTGTGACTCGACTTGGCCGTCAACCACCAACCCAATCGTCCGTGACGCCATCTCCGCCCTCCCTTCCGGTCACCGTTCTTTATTTTCCGATGCATTCCCTACCGTTCATCACCGTGCCCCACGACCGAAATCCGATCGGGGGTCGACGGAGCTCATTTCCACCGTAGATATATTCTATGGCGGAGGGTTGATATACTCGAATGCTACAGTTTCCGAGACGGTGTCGAGTTGGTTCTTGTCCTCTCCGTTCAGAGTTGACCTTCTCAACATGAAGGGGACGGTGGTGCCCATGCCGGTGAAGTTCGACGGAGACGACGGAAAGTGTGTGGCCCACCTCGAAGAGCACTTGAAGCTGAGTTGGATTCTCATAGACCCGTCGAGTAAACGTGCCGTGAACATATCTAGCCTGAAGCCCGTCAACTTTCGGCGGCACTGGCTGACCGGAGAGATAAAGATTCGATTTGCCACGGTCGTGGACGGCGGTGGAGCCGGTGGGGATCCGGTACAATGCAGTGTGGTAGTCATTTGCGAGGGAAAGGAAGGAGGGGAGTTATACGTGCGGGATGCGAGCATGCAGGTGGAGGACGTGGAAGGGAAGGTTTTGAACGGGAAGGACAGTAAGGTAATTTTACAAGAAGCCATGGAAGGTATAAGAAAGAAGAGAGAAGAAGGAGAAGAAAAAGAAAGGTATAAAACATTTGTAGTGTGTAAGAAGCAATGGAGGGAAATGAAGCGGAGAAAAGAGAAGAGAATGGATTTGGCGTGCATAGCCGGTGGAATTTGCACTTTAATTGTGTTTTTTAGCCTAGTTTTCTTGGGGTCAGAAAAGGGTTATGCTAATTGTTTACGATTTTTTGGATAAGACGGATTAGGAAGTACTCCCTCCGTCCTAATTTGTGAGATACTTTACGGTTTACGATGTTTGACCGAAGATAAAGCAAATTGATCCCTGTTAACACTCAAATTAATTTTACAAAAAAAATTTACATATTCAGAAACTACATTAAAATCGCTACAAAACCTGCAAACAATAATTCAAATTTCACAAACTTTTGATATATAAAGTAAAAGACTAAAAGTGATTTATGTTGACCAAGTGAATAGTAAATGTATCTTACAATTTGGGACTGAGGGAGTAGTAGTTAGGTAGAACAATCTCATAAACTGTACCCTGACTTTTTATAAGTTGAAATTATAATTTTTGTAATCTTAATTATTACTCCATGTGTTTATGTTAGGTAGAAATAAGTTTTTACTTTCCAACTTTTGTATGAAGTATTATTTGAAAAGACTACAAGAGTGTTTAGAAAATGATGGTTTGACACTTTTTAGCGTTTTCAGTGTATCAAAACTGATTTCGTTAGTCAAACCTGATGACTGAATTTGCTATTGACAACTCCATAACATAATACGTATGAAATTCGATAACCTAATTGTGTGTTTTATTTTTAGAGTATATCATATGAATTGCAAAACATAATGCTTGTTTACCAAACATTAGAAATGACTTAATTTTACCAAAAGGCCGATTAAACGTTTAGGAGATACTCAAACTGATTTTTAAGGACTACATATTAGTCATTGAAGAGTGAAGACTTTTTTATTGTACGAATCCATTTACCTTGGAATGTTAGGGAATGCAAATTGGTGTGATTGAGTTTGCTTGATCAATTCTTGATTTTAAAGATGCAAATATGACAGAGCTTGTGAACGGATTGATAAATTCAACGATATTGGAAGTCATTTGCAAAGGGAATTAAGGATGTTTTTACTTGGACCGTAATTCGTCCCATACCAGACCAGATCAAACCAGACCAGACAAGACCAGTTCAGACCAGACCGGACCAGACTTGGATAGTTATAAAAATACCAAGAAACCAGATCAGATCAGACCAGACCAGTTCAGACCAGACCAGATCAGACCAGACCAGACCAGCAAATTAGACCAGTTCTTATTTAAGCTAACTGTTGTTGACTTAGAATTACTCCGTATAAAATTTCTGAGGGTCATGCGTTCTTACCGGCTTTATTTGACTGAGATGTATAATCAAACAAGTGTATCAATTTTTTTAATATTGTTAGTAGTAGCTTTATTTGAAGCTGTGGATGCCAAAATAGTAATATCATTTTTTTTCTAACTTTTTCCTTTTACTTGTATCCCTTTTGCCAATAATATTAGTATTAAAAACAATTTTTCTTAATTTCATGGCCTAAATGTCAAGGGTATAGTAGTAGTGCCCTTTTTTAACAGTTAATTTATAATAGTTGTAATTCTTAACTTGAAGAATTAGTTCTGGAAATGATAAAATATTACTCGTATTAGAAATTTAAATTATTTTTCTATCCGAATGATTACATGAAATCAAAGCCTACAAATGTCTTGAAATGGGTTATACAAAAATTTCACTCAAATTTAAGTAAGTCCATATGAATATATATTAAGGTCCCATTTGGTGACTATCTTTTCCGGCTTATTTGCCGTATCAGTCAATTTTTCATCAAACACGTAATTTTTTATTCCACGCACTGGGGTTTATAATAATTAAAATAAGTAAGGTTTAGTTATGTTTTGGCTTAATTGAATGAAGTTAATGTAGAAGATCATTTTAGCTATTTCTTCATAAAATTTTCTTTATTTTCTTAGTAAAATATATTTTAAATATACTTCTTTCATAATTCGGCAGATTAAACCAATTTAATTGCTTCACTTAGAACTGCATCAATTTCACCGGATTCAGCGAAAAGTGTTATCAAACGGTATGTAGAATCTCATGATATGTGACCATAAATCTTATAATGTCTTACAAAATCCTAAAGAACACACCCTTTTAGTAATTGGATGATTATTAAATTTTAATCATTAATATACTATATTTGTCTATTCATAAAAATGCAATAGTTTGTAATTTTACATTGATAGGCATTATGGATGTTTTTAATTGTATTAGTTTGACTCTCAAATTCAATCAGACTAGACCAAACCTCAATAGACTAGATCAAATTAGATTAGATTAGACCAAACTTCAACAGATACAATCAAATCAGCCAATTTCTGTGTTACCAAACAAACTCTAATTCTGAATCATATGTCCTCTTAGTTTTTTGGTCTTCAACACATCTATATAAGTAGTATAAACTATACCCAGTTCATTCCCCGTTTCATCAAGTGGGGGGGTGGGGGTGGGGGTGGCATCCGCCTCCGGCCCATCCCATTTTTAAATACTCCGTATTTATTAATCGGGAAAAATAATTAAAATATACCCCAAACTTTAAAAGGGGTGTGAAGTAAGCAACCCAAACTTGCATATGTAATTTAAAAACCCCAAACTTTATATAAAAAATTATTTTAGCACCATGGTCATGTATTATTTATTTAAAAAATGTCAATTTTTGGTGTTCATTTAATAATTTAAAATATTTTAGAATTCATGAAGATACAATTAACATTCTAAACTTCTATCGTAAAATAAAGAGTAGTACCCCCACTCTATCTAATTGTAAAATTTTCAATTTGCTATTTGAAACTATGCAATTAACACCATAAATTTACATTTTTGAAAAAAATAATACATGATCATGGTGTTAAAATAACTTTTTATATAAAATTTGGGGTATTTAAATTACGTATGAAAATTTGAGGTGCTTATCTCACACCCCTTCAAAGTTTGGAGTATTTTAATTATTTTCTTCTTATTATATTTATAGTGTATATGATTTTTGTTGTTGTATCTATTTACCTCAACCTTTGCTCCGGGCTACACCCTTTATTTAAGTCTTCATCTAATGCTATTTGTTTTCATGAAAGGAAAAAACTACCAGCTACCTCCAATGAAGGTATCAATTAACTATTTTTTTTAGAAGAATAGGCTTATATTGATATCTCAACATTTAGATAATGGGTAATCCGACAAACAGAATCCTGACAACCGCCGTCCCGAGATCCAGACTTAGAGTTAATCACCTCAAAAGAAGCAAAATAACTCTCTGATCCATTAATGGGCACAAAAGAGCCAAAGACGGTTACCCCAATTCTCCCATCCCCCATATCCAAATCAATCGTCTTACACAGCAATGAATCCAAAAAACAAAACAAAACACAAAATAAAAAGACATATCAGGAAAGATAAAAATAAAATTAATAAACTTGAGCTGGTGTTCGAGCATGCCGATCTGCACAAGCACCTAAATCTTATTCTTCTGCATCTGAATCCATGTAGGCGGACTTACTAGTCAAAGTCTGCCTCCACCCCGTTTTTTGTTTCATCTAGAGCCATGTTATCTTTTCCATCCTGCCCTTCCCCCCATTTCTCCCATAGCCCCCTTCTCTTCTGTTCCCCCCTGTTTCATCCTTGCTCTCATCCCCAACTCCCTTTGCTATACTCTGCTCAGAATCTGCAGCTGACTCTCTTCTTCCATCCCCAACTTGTCCTCAGACCTATTACCGTCTCCATACCTCTAGTCCCTATCAGAGCTCGATGAACTCTTCAGTAACCATTGGTTTCCCCCTATAGGAATCGTCTTCCCCCCGCTACCAGCTCTAAGCTGGACTCCATATATTTCTTCTCCAGAACCAGACCTTCTTCATAGTTTAAATGGCAGAATTTATCTGAATGTCCAATTAACCCACAAATAGAACAGAAGTTGGGTAACTTTTCATATCTGATGTCTACCCAATAACTCTTACCGTCTTTTTTCAGATTAGTACCTCTTTTCAGTGTCTTCTCCACGTTCATACAAACTCTTATTCTCATATAGGCCTCCCACTTGTCACTATTTTGATTATCATCATATTTTATGAATTTCCCTATAATATTTCCAACCCTTCTGGCAGTACCTAAATTGACAAGACTATAGGGAACATTGTGGATTTGAACCCAAAAATCTTCCTCATTCAAAACAATTTTATGAGGAATGTCACCAGGTCTAACTTCTTTCAGTAACAACAGATTTCGTTCAAATTGCCAAGGTCATCCCTCAAGAACACGATTCATATCCACACGATGATAAAAAGTAAAAAAATACCTTTTTTACTGACTTCTTTGACCGAGAGACCTTTGCTCGGCCTCCATAGCGAAGTCATAAGCTCTTTGATAGCTGGAAATCTGACCTTGCGGTCTGTCAACATGATTCTTATCACCAGAAAACCCGGCATGTTTCCTTCCACTGGTGGTTCCTCTGACTTGGTGTCGTCAAGATCCAAATCCTCCTCCTCGTCCTCAAGCGCCATTTTTCTATACTTATCAACAACACCTTCCATGCACAGCCCGTCCTCCTTAGCTTCCTCTCGGGACTATCATTGGTCGCTTTCCCCTTCAACTGGTTCGTGTGATTCGTCGAAGATGGAGATCCATGGCTTCGAAGCCTTCCGTCGAGATTGCCCGAGAAGATTGCACGCACAAGAAACAAAACAAAGTTTCAAATAAAACTCGTAAAAACAGCCCCGCTCTCCAAACGGCTTACCAGCAGCGGGCAAGAGGCCCCTGGTATCACTGGCGGCGGAAGACGAACGCTAGGCGTTACCGGATGGTAACCTTAGAGAGAGAAGCCCGCAGGTATTGAGAGACCACGTAGAGAGACCACATAGAGTTCTTGGTATCAATTAACTATGTATAGTCAAATATCGCTTTTTGACTTCTAATATTAGAAATTAATTTTTGATCATAATCAAATCATTTTTTTCGATTCAATAGAGCTTTCAATATTGTCTCCGTATCAATCGACTTATGTGTGATGAAACAAATTAGGAATGCAATCATCTTCCTCATATAGGAATGTGCCTCAAAATTATATATATATGTAGTTTTTCTTTGTCATTATTCAATTTTTATTAATACAAATTTCTTATTATAAGATCATAAAATACACAAAGTTCGAAAATACGATTAAATATGTTTTACTTTTAAAATAGAATATATTTAACCCTATTAAAAGAATAAGT